CCCTAATGTCCCACCACCCTGCTCTCCCCACAGGCAGCCACCTGGGCCGCCACTTGCTCACCACTCAGCTGCCTCGGAGGAAACAGGTGATAGGTGCTGTAAATATCATTGGAGAACTGCAACTGGAGCTCGGGGCTGCCCGTCAGGAGCTGGGCCACCTGTTCCACCTGGAATGGTGTCTTCTCCAGGATCACAATGGCATCCTCTCCATCCCCAGAGGCCTCATTCACCTGTGTGGGGAGACACCGTGAGGCCTGGAGAACAGAAGTAGAAACCCCCCCCACCCCCCCCACCCACCCCCCACCCCCGTCCCCGTCCCCATCCCCTCCCCACCAGGGCCTCTGAATTCCCAACATTTGGGATTTCCTTTCCTTGCAGTTTCTCTACCCGCAAGTCTAGCCAATGGCACTGTTTCTCCTCCCAGGGGAGAAATCATTAACCTAAATCCTTCCTTCTAAAACAGGGGTGGGGAACCTCCCGCCCAGGAGGCCCACTAAATCATTGGTCTGGCTCTGCCAAGGCTTAGGGGTGAGTTCATTAAATGCCTGACCAAATATAGCAGGCTAGTTGTTGTTGTTTTTTTAAACAGGCTACTTTTTAGACTGGTAATTTTGTACAGCCGGCGAATGATGTTATAAATATCCAAATGGCCCTGGGCAGAAAAAAAAGGCTCCCCACCCCTGCTCTCAAAGATGGGAAGCTTCTAGGCTGTCTTCAATTTTAAGCTCACAGGGGCCTCTGTTAAATTCTCCCCATTTTACAGACGAAGACATGGAGGTCTAGAAAGGTCTGCGATCGCCCCAGGTCCCTGAACAGTCAGGACTGAAAAGGAAACTAGAATCTGGGCATCCCAACTAGCTCCTTGAAACGCAAACGTTCTCAGGGCTAAACTCTTAAGCCAGTGATGGCGAACCTATGACACGCATGTCAGAGGTGACACGCGAACTCATTTTTTTGGTTGATTTTTCTTTGTTAAATGGCATTTAAATATATAAAATAGATATCAAAAATATAAGTCTTTTATATAAGTCAAAAATATAAGTCTTTGTTTTACTATGGTTGCAAATATCAAAAATTTCTATATGTGACACAGCACCAGAGTTGTTAGGGTTTTTCAAAATGCTGACATGCCGAGCTCAAAAGGTTCGCCATCAGTGTCTTAAGCGGTGCTGCAGACTGAAGACAAGTGGGGCTGAGAGAACCAGACAGAACCTGGTGAAAAACACAAGAGACACACAGAGAGAAGCATGGATGCCGAGGACCAGGTCCCCCGTGGTCCTCCCAAAATGAGAGCTCCCACTAGGAGTTCTGGGGAACCCCAGGACCTGCCCTTGGCTGGGCCTGGCCTCCGGTCTCTCCCCAGTCCCTGCTGGGGAGCTGAGCACGTGCATTCCCGGCCGGGGGTGGGAATGTGTCTCCCCCAAGGTCCTCTGCAGCCCTGAAGATCAGGGCCGGGAACCTTCATCTCTACACCCCCAGGACCCAGCTCAGGGCTGGCCTGCCGGCGCATGGCAGGTGGCCCTGAATTACCCATTTCATAACCTGCTCCTCTGTCGGGGCTGGAGTCCTGGACAGCAGGGCTCGGATGTCCTACCGTCCGTCTCCTGCCGGCCCCGGGGGCACGGAGGGAGCAAGGCGGCCCGGCCACATTTGCTGGGTTCCCAGCACCTTTACAGAGCGGATGGACACATGATGAGTGACTTGGAGAATTTAACGCGGGATTATTCACCTGCCAGACACCCTACCAGTGCCAGCGGTTCCTTTTGCAAGGGAGGGGTTAGGAAAATCAGCCGCACGTGTTAAAGGCCCCACCTCCACGGGTGACCGGGTCTTCTCCATCCCCAACCCCCACCCCCGACGCCCCCAAAGCATTGCAGACCCGCGCTTCCTCCCTCACCCCGGAGTAATGCGATTGGTGCTTCCCGGCCGAGAAGCCCACGAGATCCGCCCCCGGGCGGCGGTACCCGGTCCCCCGCCCAGGGCCGCCGCCGATACCTTGCCGTGCAGGAAGAGGATCTTGTCCCGCGCGGACTCCCGCAGCACTTTCTGCACTCTGAAGCCGGAGAAAGGGAGGTGGGCAGGGGCAGCGGTGCCATTCCCAACGCCGGCTACCTTGGCTTCCTTGACCTCTGTGCCGGGGGCGTCTTCCCCTGCGGCGGCCACTTCGCGCTTCCTCTTGCTCGGCGGAGGGGCCGCGTCCGCCATGTTGCCCACGGGAGAGCGCGCCTGCGCAGACCCCGACGCGCCCCGCCCCGCCCCGCCCCCCTGCGCGAGTGGCTGCCACTACAACTCCCGGCATGCTCCGGGCGCTGACCCCGGCGACCTCCGATTTCAGCCAAGGGACTGAGATGACCCGGGTGCAGAGGGAAGAGGAGAGGAGGCAGCGAGCCCTTAGAAGGGCCATAGCAGTGCTGCACTGATTAGTTAACATGGAAGCAAGTCCTTCTAAAACCAATCAGTTGAGCCCTAGCTGGTTTGGCTCAGTGGACAGAACATGGGCCTGGGGACTGATGGGTCCCAGGTTCGATTCCGGTCAAGGGCACATGCCCGGGTTGCGGGCTCGGTCCCCACTGGGGGGCGTGCAGGAGGTGGCCTGTTGATGATTCTTCCTCATCATTGATGTTTCTCTCCCCCTTCTTCTCTGAAATCAATAAAAATATATATTAAAAATAAACAAATAAAACCAATCAGTTGAGCCGATCTTATTGGTGCACATTTCTTTAAAAAATATGTTTTTATTGATTTCAGAGAGGGGGAGATAGAAACGTCAATGATAAGAGAGAATCACTGATGGGCTGCCTCCGGCGCGCCCCACAACTGGGGCCTGAAACCCGTGCCCTGACTGGGAATCCAACCGTGACCTCCTGGTTCATAGTGGACACTCCACCACGAGCCATGCCGGCGGGACAGTGTGTATGCATCTTTTTAGGACACCCTATATATCGAGTTGGATAAAAGGCTAATTGTTTCCTGAAGCAGAGCAGTTAGTAGGGGAAGCTTAGGATCCGAAGTCATCTTCAACCAGAAACATTTGCTGCTTGTTCACAGTTTCCTGGGTACATCCCTCACCGTCTGAGGCCACTCAGTAGGAGGTTATAAACTATGCAACACTAGAACAAAATGCCCTGAGGGTAAATGACAATAGCAAAACCTGCTTAAAATAACGACAAGGCCCTGATCTGAAAATGTCTAGGTGTGCTCGCTCATTCTTCCTTTTCCTTCCTCCCCCTTTCTTGCTTCCTTTCTCTTTTCTTTGTCTTTCTGTCCCCTCCCTCCACCCAGGTTTCTTTTCTTTTCTTTTTTTTTTCTCTTCTTTAACCTGGAAAGAGTAGCTGTGTTTTAACAAAAAGCTCTGAATTCGGAGCCATGAAGTCTGGCTCCAACACTGACTAGCTGTGCAACTTTGGGGAAGTCACTTACCCCCTCTAGGCCTCCATTTCTATTTGCCAGACACTGTCCATCCTGAATAAGACAGGAAAGACCTCTACTTTCATAGAATTCATATTCAAATAGAGATGAGGTAAACAAATACGATCGTTTTAGGTAAGATTAATGTGTTATTTATAGAATAAACAGAGCAATGCGATAAACTCTGGGTACAGGGAGGACTTTAGATAAGGTGGTCACAGGTGGCTGCCCTCTCAGGAGGTGACATTGAGCTGAGACTTGAATGATAAGAAGGAAACAGCCAGGAAAATGTATTTGAGGCAGAGTAGATATCAGATGCTAAAGTCCCTAAAGCAGTAATGAGCTTGACAGTATTTAGAAACGGGAATGGCCCTTAGGGTGAGCACAGGAGAGATATTGTGGAGAAATTTATTCATTAGTGGCAAATTCATCAGCGCAGTTATAATTCTGATTAAAATATCCATAGCTTTAACCGGTTTGGCTCAGTGGATAGAGCGTCGGCCTGCGGACTGAAGAGTACCAGGTTCGATTCTGGTCAAGGGCATGTACCTTGGTTGCGGGCACATCCTCAGTAGGGAGTGTGCAGGAGGCAGCTGATCAATGTTTCTCTCTCACCGATGTTTCTAACTCTCTATCCCTTTCCCTTCCTCTCTGTAAAAAATTAATTAAAAAATATATAAAATATCCACTTTAGCCAGTTTATCTCAGTGGTTAGAGCATGAACCCATGGACTGAAGGGTCACAGGTTTGACTACAGTCAAGGACAAATATCTGGGTTTCAGGCTCAATCCCAGGCCCTGGTCAGGGTGTGTGTAGGAGGCAGCCAATCAATAAGTCTTTCTCACATCAGTGTTTCTCTCTTGCTGTCTCTCCACCTCCCCTCAAAAATCAGTGCTGGGGCGGGGCGGGGGGGGGTGGGGGTGGCGGGAGGGGTTAGCCAGTTTGTCTCAGTGGATAGAGCGTCAGTCAGCCTATGGACTGAAGGGTTCCTGGGTTCGATTCCAGTCAAGGGCACATGCCTGGGTTACAGGATTGCTCCCCAGTAGGGGGCGTGCAGGAGGCAGCCAATTAATGATTCTCTCTCATCATTCATGTTTCTCTCTCTCTCTCCCTCTCCCTTCCTCTCTGAAATCAAATGTGGACATTTTAGATTAAATGTAAAGCCTATTCAAGGTAAGTAACTAGAAACAGCAGGATAGTTACAACTTGTTAAAAAATATGTACTAAACCAAAAACCTACATCGAATATCACATTTCATGGAGAAATGTTTGAAGTATTCCCTTTAAAATCATGAAGGAGACAAAGATGGCTGCTATGGCCACTTTCAGCATTTTCTGGCGGTCCGCAGCAGCCCAGGAAACAAGGAAGTTTCTGTTTTCAAACTTTATGATCATCTTTATAGAAACAATAAAGTCTGTGGTCTTAGAGAATAAACAATTCAGTGGTCTGCTTAATATCAGATCAGTGTGCAAAATGAATTGCAATACTTTCTACCAGTAATAGATAAAAAATATATAATTTAAAAATATTTACACTAGCAACAGAAAATATGAAGTACTAAGGAATAAACTGAATAAAAGATGCGACTGACTGACATGGAGAATGATTATAGAGCTTTATTGAAATACATTTAAAGCATCAAAAAAGGGACACATATCATAAAAAAAATCTGTTCTTCCAAAATGAATCTCTCAAGTCTATGTCAGCCCAGTAGAGAAACAAAACAAACAAAAACCAGGCATTTTCCTAAAACTTGACAAATTAAATAATTTCTATAAAAGAAGAAAGGAATAAGTCAAAGTGGTTTTGATGAAAAAGCAGAGTAGAAAGGACTGACCTATAAGTTATCAAGGTTATTAAAAACCATAGTAAGGAGTGGGCCTAAGTCATCAGTAAGACATCCCCTGAGGGCTCCCAGTCTGTGAGAGGGGGCAGGCTGGGCTGAGGGGACAACCCCCCCCAACCCAGTGCACAAATTTTGTGCACCGGGCCTCTAGTGTTGATATAAGCTTAGCTCTGGGTTGGTAATTGTCGAAGCTGGGCATTGGACATATGGGGACTCACCAAATCTTTATAAAAAAGATAAAAAGGAAAACAAGAATATTATGATAATAGGATACCAGGTTTCACCCATCAGATTAGCAAACATTTTCAAATCTGATCATTCTAAGTGTTAGCATGAACATCAAACAGTGGGAACTCATACACAAGTGGTAAGGACATAAATTGACACAACTAATTTGGAAGAAAATTTGGGCACAGAGGGAATACCCTAGGGGTGGTAACGTTTTACTTCTTCAGCTGGGTGGAAGGTACGTGAATGTAAACGACAGTATGCTTTAGCCCTTTTGTGTGTAATAAAATAATTCATAGTTAACAATATAAAAAATTTTCACAATATATACAAATATCGACTCATACACCTGAAACATGTTAAATGCCAATTGTATCTCAATTACAAATATATATAATATATGTATAAATATTTTTCAGTAAAAGGAGGGGGAAGTGAAGGAAGAGGCACAATAGTACACATTGGGGGAATGAGATTGATTTCGGTTCAACAATCAACTTTTACTGAGAACTGATGAAGGAACCTTGCCTGGCCTACAAGGGCACACAGTCCTCCGGCAGGAGAAAAATGCTGGTTTCTCTCGGTGCAGAGGTGAAGAAGTTACTGCAAAGCATGGGCTCCAGCCAGACCCCTAATGCGGCCCCACATGTCAAAGCGTGGGCGGGCGGGCTTTTGATCCCACATCAAAGGTCCTAGCTTTCCTTCTCTTTACCACCCCCACCCCCCGCTCGCCCCCCGCCCTCAATAGTCTAATTCAGAATGGTTTCTAGAGTTGAGTCTTTCATGACCTGCACGCAGTAAAATACATACAGCACGGTGCTGAGTGCAGTTCCATGTAGCTTTCTAAAGTGAGTGAAGGGGAAGAGAAGGCAGCAGTGTGAGGGTGAGAAACCCGACACCTGTGCCTTCCTCCTGACATCTGTCCCAGGGTTTCCCCGGCAACAGGAATAAACAAACATGCCCCCTAGGCTTCTAGCTGATTCACCAGGTGAGCCACCTGTTCAGGAGGAAGGCGTCTCTACACCAGAGCCCGATCCCAGGGGAAGAAGACATAGGGATGTGCCAGACTCACGTCCCATAAGGAGGAGGCAAAACACGGGTGGTCATCTTGGTATCAGCACCTCCTAAAAACCCTTTCTGGCTTTCCCCTGGCCTTCCTGGGGAGTCCCCAGCTTCTTCATGGCCTTCCTGGGGGAGTCCCCAGCTTCCCTAGCGCCTTCCAGGGGAGTCCCCAGCTTCTCTAGGGCCTTCTTGGGGAACCCACAATAATGGAAGCCCGCTGGGCAATCTGATCCCGGCATCACATACAAAACGCTACCAACTCTGGTTCCTTGGGCCCTGTCATGCCGCGGGGTCCAGGCCCTGCGCGCCCTCTCACTTGATTTCCAGCTTGTTGCCAGCGTCCTGGGTCCCTCGGTGATGGCAGAGTGTCAGCTGAGGTGCTGCAGATCTGAAAGAGACCAAAGAGAATCACAGGGCTTGTCACCCTCCCCCAACATGTCTCCACCTCTTGATTTTTTTAAAAAATCTGTCTTTATTGGCTTTTTTTAAAAAAGAGAGAGGAATGTCGATGTGAGAGAGAAACGGATTGGTTGCCTCCCGTATGCAACCTGACCAGGACTGAACCTGCAACCTAGGTGTGTGCCCTGACAGGGAATCACACCCACAACCTTCTGGTGCCTGGGAGGACACTCACCCAACTGAGCCACACTGGCCAGGGCTCTTCTAACTTTTTATCTATTTTACTTCCCCCTGTAATATAGTGTCCTCCCCCTATCAGAGGCAATTCTTCCCCATTATTTTACACTTCTTCTTGCCTTATTAAACCACTAGAGGCCCGGTGCACGAATTTGTGCACGGGTGGGGTCCCTGGGCCTGGCCTGCAATCGAGCCGACTGGGGCCAGCCAGCCAGGGGGTGGGACCACCAGAAGTTGTCCAGCTGTGGGAGGTTGGCTGTGGGAGTGCTCTGAACATCAGGGGGCAGCTCCTGCCTTGAGCCTCTGCCCCCTGGTGGTCAGTGCGGGTCATAGCAACCGGTCCAGCGGTCGACTGGTCATAATGGTCGCTTAGGCTTTTATATACATAGATAGATGTTCCTCCAACCTGGCCTGCGTGAGAGAAACTCACACGAGGAATGCTAACAATGGCTAAGACTTATTGAGGCCTTGATAGGTGCCTGTTATGAGCACTTTCCATGTGCCAGGCCCTGCTCTGAACACGTACTTAGTGTATACACTGATTGCGGTACACGGTATCATTCTGGTGTCCCAGTGAGGACACCCAGGCACAGAGGGGTTCAGTAACTGCCCAAGAAGCACACTGCTTTCAGAGCCTACGTGTTGAACTCCTGGGCTACAGGGCTGTCTCCTGAAGGCCCAAGCAGATCGATGCTGACCCTTTCCCCCTCCCCATCCCCTCCTCACAGAGCTTACAGCGCAGGATGGCCTCCTTGACTTGGCGGAAGCCTTGGTCGGGTCCCCGGCCGTCCACGAAGTACATGAAGCGGAGCTCGGCTGGGTAGGCGGCCCTGGCCAGGCCGGCGACGAGCAGGGGGATGGTGCGGCCCTCGGCCCCCGGGGCCTGGCTCAGGGCCTGCAGCATCTGGTACCTGCACCACGGGTCACTCAGGAAGCCGGGAGTGATGAACAGCACGCGGCAGTGGCTGTTGTCCAGCGTGATGAACAGCACGCGGCAGTGGCTGTTGTCCAGCGCCCGGCACAGCTCGGACACGATGGCGCCGCCCGGGGCGGAGTCCCGCAGCTGCAGGAAGCAGCGCAGGCTGGCAGGGCTGTCCTCCAGGTAGGCCACCAACTCCTGCACAGCCGCCAGGTCCTCCTCGCTGTGGCACACGCACACGTCGTAGTCCCTGCTCCAGCGGCCGCTGCTGCTGCTGCTGGCTGCGCCCCCATCACTGCTGCTGCTGGCCGCGCCCCCACCACTGCTGCTGCAGGAGGCGCCCCCACCACTGCTGCTGCAGGAGGCGCCCCCACCACTGCTGCTGCAGGAGGCGCCCCCACCACTGCTGCTGCAGGAGGCGCTCTCCAGTGCAGGTGGCAGGGCAGCGGGAGACTCGGCCGATGCAGTGGAGTTGAGGTCCGGGGATGGGGGGTCATCCGAGCACCGTGGTGGAGCATCACTGGAGGTGGTTTCCTGGGACACAGGCATCTCCTTGGGCTTCTTGGACAGCGCCTGCCTGAGCCAGCCTGCGGGAGAAACTCTGCTCAGGGCTAATTCTCACCAGGCGGCCTCCTCCCAGCCATAGAGGGGAGATGGGGCCAGGAATCCCCCCGGCCTTCCTGCACCTGCCCACCTTCCTGCACTGGCCAGTACCACCCGACTCTCAGACCTACTGCCCGGCTATTCTGCACATCCTCAGGACCTGCCCGAAGTTCCCACTATCCTACAAGTTTTCCACCCGGCTGGTGTGGCTCAGTGCTTGAGCGTGGACCTAATGAACCAGGAGGTCCCGCCTTGATTCCCGGTCAGGGCTCATGCCCATATTGCAAGCTCAATCCCCAATAGGGGGTGTGCAGGAGGCACCTGATTAATGATTCTTTCGCATCATTGATGTTTCTATCCCTCCCTATCTCTCCCTTCCTCTCTGAAATCAATAAAAAGACTTTAAAAAAAAAAGTTTTTGGGAAGACATAAGAACGCTGACTGTTTTATAAGTCCTACAGCAAGTGACTGTAGTTAATAATATTGCATTGCATATTTGAAAGTTGCTGAGAGAATAGATTTCAAAAGTGTCTACAATAGAAAAAAAATTCTGTCTGTATGTTAACAGATCTTAACTAAATCTGTGCTGACCATTTGGCAATATATAAATACTGCATCATTTATACATCTGAAACAAATATAATGTTGTGTGTCAATTATACCTAAATTTAAAAAAAAGCCTTGGTATAACAATATGGGGGGGGTGGGGGGAAAGAACCCTGGCGGTGTTACCAGCCTGACGGGGAAAGACGGCTGTGCCCTGCTCCAGGCCCTTGGGTGGGCCTACCCTACCCAGAACTTTAGACTCGACCAGTGGACCATCTGCGAGTCTGTGAGTAGAGCTACGTGAAGCTAGAAGGATCAGCAAGCCCCCAAACTCATTTTTAGCACGGAAGGGGGATCAGATCTGGAGGAAGGTGGGCCAGCCATTATGGAAGAGAAAGAGGGACTAGCATCTGTTTGGCCCCGATCAACCCTAGGTTGTTGCTAAAAGGAAAAGGAAAGTATGGAAGAGGGCCACTGCTCAGAGCCCCAGGGAGCACAGAGCTTGGTGATTGGGGACCTACACTCTGGAGTCAAACAGAGATCTGAATGGACCTGCTGGCTTTCTGCATGGTCTTAAGCAAGTCAGTCTACGTCTCCACTTCCTCATCTGTAAAATGGGTTCGTTTTAGTTGTTGAAGATTAACTGGGATCATGCAGTGTCTGGCATATTGTCAGTACTCCATAATGATTTCAGCTCAGCTCCCCGGCTTCTGGTAGGGACAGAAAGTTTGGTGTTCCGGAGATGGATGTGTTTTCTCTCTCTGCTTGGCCCCTTCCTCTGAATGATTCTGGAAGATTGAGATGATAAGAGACACACAAGGTGAGGCACTCAGCACCATGGTTTTCGAGCTAGGAGAGTTAGCTGAGCCAGAAGGACTGAAGGCCCCAGGGATGCACGCCTCCTCTCCGCAGGCACCAAAACCAAGGCAGGAGCCCCCATCGTCAGCCTCCCTGCACCTCTCCCCTGGGTTGGGCCAGGCAGACCCCCGCCTCACCACTAGGGATACTGAGGACCACTCACAGGAGCAAGAACAGCATTCAGAGTCTGCTTTCACTCACCAGCCATCTTGGCCAAAGGCTTCTTAGACCTGGAGCCAGAAGCCGGGAAGGGGGTGGATGAGGCCATAGTGTTAGGTTCAAAACTAACCCCATGAGACCAGGCATTGGTAACGTGGGGGAAGGGAGGAGACCCAGTCTTGACCTCATGGGACAGCCATCCTGCAAGAGACAGAGAGAGAGGGTCACGTACCTTACTCTCAGCCCCAGGGGGTGGGCTCTGATGATCTCTCTCTCTCCTGATGCCTGACAGAGTTTCAGTTTCGGTCCCTCAACCCACATGGGAGAGATGCCACTGTGATTGGGGCTGATGAGATAAACCCAAGTCTGGGTGGTGTGGTGAGACTCACAGATGGGTTCGGCATGACCAGCAGGGTCGGCTCTCCGCTCCGCCTGGCCTGGAGGGCATCCGGCAGCTGGGGAAGGGCAGCCGGCAGGCAGCTCTTTACAGGGACGTCCGGTGTAAATGCTGAAATGGGAGAGGCACGATTGCTATGTGGACAAATCATTTTGTATCCAGGCAGGCAGATGCTGAGCAAAGAGAAGGAACACATGTAAAAAGCCTCAAGAAACGTTTCCTCTAAGTCGGCCTTCCCTTGGATAACTTCCTCCATCCACCCACCACCACTCCCTCTCTTCCTCCTTCTCACCAGCCCCTCCTCCCTCCCTCAGCTGTCAGCTCAGAGAAGCAAGGCCACACAGTGGAGAAGAGACTGCAGCTTGTGCAGGCCCAGTGCCTGGGTTCTCACCTCTCATGAACTGTGGCCTTTGGCAATTATGCCAGAACCTGCTTCTCAGCCTTGTCGTGAAGATTATGGGATAATTTATGTAAAGGACCAATGGTATATGGCACATTGTGCTCAGGAAACAGTGGGATCGTATGTATTTAAAATCATCTAGAGCCCTAACTGGTTTGGCTCAGTGGATAGAGCGTCGGCCTGCGGACTCAAGGGTCGCAGGTTCGATTCCGGTCAAGGGCATGTACCTTGGTTGTGGGCACATCCCCAGTAGGGAGTGTGCAGGAGGCAGCTGATCGATGTTTCTCTCTCATCGATGTTTCTAACTCTCTATCCCTCTCCCTTTCTCTCTGTAAAAAATCAATAAAATATATTTTTAAAAAATCATCTAGATACTGGAGGGATATACTATGTTCATGGTTTAGAAGACTCAATAGGGTCATCAGTTTTTGCCAAACTAATATTTAGATCGATGCTGTCCCTCATTCCAGAAGGGTTGTGGTTTGGGGGGTGGGGTGGCGGCGGGATTGTCAAACTGCTTCTAAATGTACATGGACATGCAAAGGACGGGCGACTTCCCATGTTCCCTTCCCACCGCAATGCCCAGGATGTCCCTGATGGAAGAGGTTTTCTCAGCCTAGGTTTCTGGGGGTGACTCCCTGTGGGGCAGAGCCTGCCCGGGTCCGAGCCAGAGCCAGAGACAGAGGGCTGGTGGAGCGCTTGGCCCTGCAGCTATGGAGCAACAGGAAGAGGGCTGCTTCCTCACCTCACTCTTTGCTGAATCTGCAAAGTCAAAACAAACTCTCGGGGAACTTTCATAGAAGAAACTTGGATGAGACACACTGAAGGAAGGGGTTTCAAAAGGTAAAGGGCGGCACCCCACATTGGACAATAATGCTTTTCCACTGTTAAATGCTAAACACCCCTACGTGAAGCTGATGACTGTAAGTTAAGAGGGACTGTTGAGTCATGAAAATATACCAACGTTTAAAAAAAAAAGAACTTAAAACTGCAGGAACAAGGGGGCAGGAAGAGAAGGTGGCATGGGTGCAGGAATCAGAGATATACTTGAAAGAGAAAAGCAGTTAGCTGCTAAGCCCGGCAAAAAGGACAAGGACAGGTAAACATCTTTATGTGTTTCTTCCCCTGCTAACATTCTCTGGGTTTCAGACAGCCTCCTGCTGGGCTGACGCCTGATAACCACGGTCAGGTTTTGAAATCCTTTTCCTGCTTAGGGATTACTGTGTGTCGACATCTTCAGTTCAACCATCCAGTATATCCCTTTTCCCCCAGTAGTAAACGGTTGTCACTTGGTTTTTATAGTATTCGAGTATTTTTCACTTTTGTTTGATTTTTAAATGTGTTATTTGGCCGTCAAATACTTAAACTGGAGAATCATTTGATATTTTAATGATAGCCTAAAGATTAAAAATTAATCGAATACTCTAATCTACTCAATAGATGTAGATTTAAAAGTTTCAGTTTTCCATTTTATAAAAGGACTTGCCCTTCCAGCTATATGTGCTGATTTGGAGTAATTGCCTTTTTTTATTGCTTGGTTAAGAAAAAGTCCAGCCCTAGCTGGTTTGGCTCAGTGGATAGAGTGTCGGCCTGCAGACTGAAGGATCCCAAGTTCGATTCTGATCAAGGGCATGTACCTTGGTTGTGGGCACATCCCCAGTAGGAGGTGTGCAGGAGGCAGCTGATCGATGTTTCTCTCTCACCAATGTTTCTCTCTATCCCTCTCCTCTCCCTTCCTCTCTGTAAAAAAAAAAAGAATAAAATATATTTTTAAAAAAAGAAAAAGAAAAAGGAAAATCCAGTTGCCCAACAGCACAGGCCACTGGAAGTGGGTTGGTAGAAGCCCTGGTGACTAACATTATGGAAAAGTTTAAACACAGGAAACAACATCATCGTTGACAGAGGATAATTGGGCAAGACAGCAGGTTAAGTCCCATTAGCCATACACACTGGCTACTTCCTGGAGCCTAAAACCCCACAACATCTTCCTTGTTACTTTTCAGTTCTTGCACAGCTGAGGCTGTGGAGCTATTTATTACTCTCAAATATGCTTTAAACTTTACAAGATTTAGTAATAGTCACATATTGAGATTTGGGAGACATAGTTTCCAAGCAGAGAAGAAGATATTTTATGTACCCAACATAGGAGCATCTAAATATACAAAGCAAATCTTGGTAGACATAAAGGGAGAGATTGACAGTAATAGAGTCACAGTAGGGGATTTCAACACCACATTGACATCAATGGATAGATCTTCCAGACAGAAAATCAACAAGGAAACTGAGACCTTAAATGACACATTAAATCAGATGAGTTTAATTGATATTTTCAGAACATTTCACCCCAAAGAAGCAGAATATACACTCTTTCCAAGTGCACATGGAACATTTTCCAGGCCAGACCAGATGTTAGGACACAAAACAAATCTCAATAAATCTAAAAAGACTGAAATCATATCAGGCATCTTCTCCAACAAGAATAGTATGAAACTACCAATTAATTACAAGAAAAAGCCTGAAACACAGAAACACATTGAGGCTTAATAACATGCTACTAAACAATGAATTGGTTAACAACGAGATCAAGAAAGAAATCAAAAGATACCTTGAGACAAATGAAAATGATAACACAACAACCCAACATCTATGGGACACTGCAAAAGCAGTCCTAAGAGGGAAATTCATAGCAATACAGGCCTACTTCAAGAAACAAGAAAATTTTCAAATAAACAATATAATCTTATACCTAAAGGAACTTAAAAAAGCAAAAAAAAAAAAAACAAACAAATTTCAAAGTGAGTAGAAGGAAGAAAATAATAAAGATCAGAGTGGAAACAAATGAAATAGAGTCTAAATTAAAAATTACAAAAGCTCAATGAAACAACAACAAAAAAAAGATAAATGAGTTGGTTCGTTGGAGAGATAAACATGATAACAAGATTAATAAATCTTTAACGGGACGAGAGAGAGAGAGAGAGAGAGAGAGAGAGAGAGAGAGAGAGAGAAAGAGAGCTCAAATAAAATCAGAAATGACACCACAGAAATACAAAGGATTATATGTCAACAACTGGATAATCTGGGAGAAATGGACAAATTCTTAGAAACATACAATCTTCAAAGACTGAATCAAGAAGAAACAGGAAATCTGAACAGACCGATTTCAACTAATGAAATTTAAACAGTTGTCATAAACTCCCAAACCAAAAAAAAAAAAAATCCTGGACTGGATGGCTTCACAGGTGAATTTTACCAAACATTCAAAGAAGAATTAACACCTATCCTCTTTAAATTATCCCAAAAAATTCAAGAGGAGGGAAGATTCCCAATCTCATTTTATGAGGCCAGCATTATACTGATTCTAAAACCAGATAAAGACACTGCCAAGAAAGAAAATTATAGGCCAATATTCCTGATGGACACAGATGCAGAAATCCTCAACAAAATATTAGCAAACTGAATTCAGCGATATATTAAAAAGATCATACCACAAGTTGATGTTTCTCTCTCCCTCCTCATTCCTCTTTCTCTCTAAAATCAATAAACCCAATTTTTTATATCATACACCATGATCAAGTGGATTCATTCTTGGGATGCATATCAATTAATATATTACAACACATAAACAAAATGAAGGATAAAATTCATATGATCATGTCAATAGATGAAGAAAAAGAAATTCACAAGATCCAGCACCCACGTATGATAAAAACTCTCAACAAAGTGGGAATGGAACATACCTGAACATAATTAAGGCCATCTATGACACACCCACAGCTAACAGCATACTCAGTGGGGGAAAACTAAAAGCGTTTCACTTAAGGTTAGGAAGTACACAGGGATGTCCACTTTCACCACTCTTACTCAACATAGTACTGGAAATCCTAGCCACAGCAATGAGATAAGAAAAAGAAATAAAACGTATCCAAATTGGAAAAGAAGAAAAGAAACTGCCTTTATTTGCAGATGACAGGATACTAGGTAGAGAGAACTCTTAAGATCCCACAACTACTAGAATTGATAAACTGATTCAGTAGAGTAGCAGGATACAAAATACTCAGAATTTGGTTGCATTTTTATACACCAACAACGAACTAACAGAAAGAGAAACTAAGAAAACATTCCCATCAAAAATAAAATACAATACCTAGGAATAAGTCTAATCAAGGCAGTAAAAATCTTTTACTCAAAAAATTATAAGACACTGAAGAAAGCAATTGAAGGTGATACAAATAAATGGAAGCATATACCATGTTCATGAATAGGGAGAATTAACATCATCAAAATGTCCATACTACCCAAAGCAATCAATAGATTCAATGCAACTCCAATGAGAATACCAATAGCATTTTTCACAGAACTATAATAAATAATCCAAAAACTTATATTGAACCACAAAAGACTCTAAATAGCCAGAGCAATCTTGAGAAAAAAGAACAAAGTTGGAGGCATTATGCTATCTAATACCAAACTATACTTCAAGGTATAATAATGAAAACAGCATGGTACTGGCATAAAAACAGACACATAGATCAGTGGAACAGAACAGAGAGCCCCATGCCTATATGGTCAATTATTATATGACAACAGAGGCAAGAACATACAATGGGGTAAAGACAGTCTATTCAATAAATGGTGCTGGGAAAATTGGACAGATACATTTAAAAAATAAAACTAAGCCCTAACCAGTTTGGCTCAGTGGATAGAGCATCGGCCTGCAGACTGAAAGGTCCCAAGTTCAATTCCGGTCAAGGGCATGTACCTTGGTTGCGGGCACATCCCCAGTGGGAGGTGTGCAGGAGGCGGCTGATCGATGTTTCTCTCTCATCGATGTTTCTAACTCTCTATCCCTCTCTCTTCCTCTCTGTAA